CGTTTTGCATTCGTGTACCGGTGAGAGCTTAGATATACACTTACAAGCTTAGGGGAAGATAATTACTATAATCCTAAGGGGGGATGTTTATCCGTTTCATTCTCTGATGTCTGCGAAGCATCGACGTTCTTTCTCTGGGCGCATCTCTTGTGTGCAGTGAATAACGGTATCTAATGTATAGCCTGACATTGTACATAACGGTCAGTTCTTATTGTCAAAATGATCAAACTTGCAAACTGGCTCATTTTCATGTAACTTATGTTGCATGAAATATATTATTATTTGCCGAGCTATTCGGAATGATCAAAACCAGGAGCATATTACTGGTGTGTCTGGCGATTCTCCGCTCAATTCCATCATCATTATTATAGTATTATTTATCCCTTGTGTTTTTAGTGGAACATAGGGCTTCAGTAGAACGTCGTCATTTCACTCTCTTCTCAACAGTCCCTTGAACCTGGCTCCACTACCATTCACAAGCTTTCATTTCTTCCTCATATGATCTCATCCATGTCACCATCACCTCGGACGCCCAACCCGCCGCTTCCCTTTCGGGTTCCACTCAAGGGCCCAACCTGGCGTGTAATGTCTCCAAGTGGTCTCCTCAGTGTATGCCCGATCCACCCCCATCTTCTTCTCCCACGTATTTGATGGGCGATGGGTTATTGGTTGGTTCGTTGCCGGAGTGACTCCTTTGTTGCTTACTCCTTCTGTCCGCCTGATCTTCAGCACCGAGTGAGCGCAGGCGACGGCTGTTGTGGATGTCCGTAGTGCTTTTGGAAATGCTTCTCATGACGCGCCAAGTTTTGCAACCATATAGAGGCACTGGCCTGGCGCTGGCGTTTAAAATCCGGACCTTGTTCATGCCTAATTTTCAGTGCAGTAGATCTCCACACCGATTTCGGATAAGTGAAAGCCCGTCTCGCTTCTCCGATCCTTGTTTTCGCATCCTCATCTGTGGCGCCCCCATGATTGAAACGATGCTACTTATGTAGATGGAAACTCCACTATTACCACACCTGTTTTTTTCCCTCTTTGCTTTTGGGTTGTTCGATTAACCTGAAAGCATTTAGGAGGTGGACGTCTGCTTACTCCTAGTGGGAGTCCGCCTTTCATTTACAGCTGAATGCTTCTGGTTCAACAGTTGGCCATTTCTCCTTGGTTTTCAAAGAAAATCCCACCAACGTGTAGCCATCTTGACAAATCGGAAAGAGCTAGACAGATGTCGTTCACCAATACGTCGTCATCTGTTCGAATGTTGACAAATGGTGGCATTTTCAGTGTGATCTCCACCGCGTGATACTCAATTGTTGGCCCCCGCTGCCGCAGAGGTGTTTTGGCGTCTCAATTAAATAATAATCAATGATAATATATGATTCATACGACATAGGTTACATGAACTCAACTAGCTTACAGGTTTGACCATTTTGGATGCAAAATGACTATTGTATACAATGTTAGGCTACACATTAGATGCCGTTATTCATGGCATATAAGAGGTGTGTTGAAGCGGTCTCGGTTCAAAATTAGGATTATTCGGTTTATTGTTTAGATCTTCCAATATTCTTGAAGTTGGGCCGCATCACAGTCATGACCTAGAGGTGTGCGCGTTCGTCATAGGTTGTGATGGCAAGGTGCACACCGACAAATGCATTTTCTAGGATTCCATTTGAATGCAGGACT